AAGTGTCCATCAGTAGATGAATGTATAAAGAAGATGTGGTACATATATACAATGGAATATTATTCAGCCATAAGAAGAAAACAAATCCTACCATTTGCAACAACATGGATGGAGCTAGAGGGTATTATGCTCAGTGAAATAAGCCAGGCGGAGAAAGACAAACACCAAATGGTTTCACTCATATGTGGAGTATAAGAACAAAGAAAAAGTGAAGGAACAAAACAGCAGCAGAGTCACAGAACCCAAGAATGGACTAACAGTTACCAAAGGGAAAGGGACTGGGGAGAATGGGAGGGAAGGGAGGGATAAAAGGGGGGAAAAAGAAAAGGGGTATTACGATTAGTATGTATAATGTGGGATGGGGCATGGGGAGGGCTGTGCAACACAGAGAAGACAAGTGGTGATTCTACAACATCTTACTATGCTGATGGACAGTGACTGTAATGGGGTTTGTGGGGGGGCTTGGTGAAGGGGGGACCCTAGTAAACAATGTTCTTCATGTAATTGTAGATTAATGACAACAAAATTAAAAAAAAAACAAACAAACCCTGAAATAGGAAAAGCAGGTCATCTATCCCCATTTGACACATAAGGAAGCTGAGCCTAAAAGGTTAACATAAATTGCCAAGATCATACAGCTACTAAAAAGCCAAGCTGGGACTAGAATCCATGTTCTTGTCCTGCTTGGGCAGTTTTCTGCACAGAATTTCCACTGTTGAAGGTGTGGCCCTCAAGGCTGGATTTGAAACCCACTGGTTGGGGTGGTTTGTTCAAGACATCTTCGTATTGGCCTTGTTGACTTGGCAGCTCAAATTTGATCTTGGAAACCTCAAATCCTAATATATAGAGCTGGCTTGATTTCTTTCTTTTTTTCAAAATATATACTTCACTCGATTATTTTCCTTTCAAACTACAGAAGTAATTCTTGTTGTAACAAGCCAAAAAAAAAAAAAAGACATTTTTTAAAAGGCCACCTACAATCTCCCCTTCCATCCCCAAATCCAACCCCATTAGGTAGGCTGGGCTAACAGTGGCCTTTCCTACTTTACCCCAAACTCAAGAACAAGCTTGCACAAACATGTTTAGAATTATCATGTTTTTTTTTCTATTTTAAAAAATAAAAGTAAGATCTTAGAATACCAAAAAAAAAAATTTTTTTTCATGGTCATTTAAATATTGATACATTAGCCTCTGGTATAATTGCTCAAAACTGCACAACACCTCAGAAAAAATTATATTTAGCAATAATAGCTACAAAATGAGTCATAAAAAAATGGGTTGTGCCAAGTCAATGCAGCTGCAATTGATAAAACAAACTTACTCGAATGGCACATAACAAAACCACATGTAAGTCTCCTGGGAAATGAAACATCAGTTTGGAAACTGTACACGAGAAGGTGTACAGGCAAGTAACACTACATGTTTCCAAACAAAGTCTTTTTAAAGAAAGAAAACATGGCAGAGGACATCATGCATCAGCTCTCTGGCTTCACGAATGCAGGTGATACGTTCCCTAATGCTAGGAAAGGGCAGCTTTACAACGCTGGTTGCTTTGTAGGTTTCAATAAATGGTACAGGAGCTGACAAAATATAGTTTTTAAAAAGTACTGACAAAAGGGGATAAACGCATAGAGCAACCTGATGAACTCTTTCCTTTCTCCACGTTCCTGCTGCTGCAAGTACTTACAGGAAGCATGGTGCCAAAAACAAGGGTTTTATGGTCAATCAGACTTGGGTTTATATCCGGACACTTGATAGCTGTGTGATTTTGGCAGTATCATTTAATCTACTTGTATCTTTGTTTACTCATCTTTAAAATGGGAGAAATACTTGGCAGAATTCTTGTGAGAATTAGAAAAATCATTTGTATAATAAGCTGGCACATAGCAGCTGCCCTCAAAATGGTACCTTTTATTATTGTTGCCCTGGGAAGGAATGTGTCTGCCTGGGCAGAATCTGTCTCTGTGCTGCCTGTTAACTAGAGATAGACACCTGCAAACAAAGTCAATAAGGAAAGTACAGCAGAACACTCCGTAGAAAGATTGAGTGACTGAAATTGGCAGAAACAGTGAAGTATGAGTTTCTGTCCCTTAGGAGGCTGTACTAATGAATTATGGTTTCTACATGAGTCTGCCTGAAGATTCCTATTGGTGTTAACTAATTTGTTTCTCACTTATTCAAGGTCATTACATGTGTGAGAACATATACATTCTAAATAAAAGAATTTACGGTTCTACCCACTAGAGGTAAAGTTTTGCCTACAGGGCTATGAAGCCACTTAAATAAATGAAATATTCAGAATCCCTTCACTCCATTCTGAAATGTTTATGGTTATTAAAGCCATTCATCCTCATACAGGCAGGGATATCTCTGAATTGATTTTTATTTTCAAAGCCAACTATTTAAATGCTTACTATAGTTTTAGAATATTTTAAGACACTCCACCCCAAGCCAAAAATACCCCCAAAAAACAAAGTAACAACAAAACCATCTGAAAAGAATTCAGGGGGAAAAATCAGGATTAAATTTTGTATCACCAAACACAACTTGGGTTAAATACACATTTTAAATATCAAGCCAATACAGAGATTATGCCACTGTTTAACGATTTGTTTACTACTGTTAAATCCATTCATCCTACAAAATTATAAAAACTGCATATAAATCATGTAATTTCATATTTACCTGTAATTACATGGTTTATCTTCCACTGCTCATGCCTCTGTCTTCATAAATGGTAATTTCAATCTAAACAGCATGGCTGTTAAGAAAACACACTATAGAACATGACAAACCAAAGGGGACTGGCGAGAAGATGTGTGTGATCTGCACAAATGTTTCTTTGAATTTGCTTTGCTTATCTTTAAGTTTTTCCTACTTAAGTTAAAGGTGATGCTTTCTCCTCCACCTTGCTGAAAAATTTAAAAAATGGAATTGCTGGTTGTCTTCCACATGCAGTTCCCCCCATCAAACTTAATTTTTTTCAAAAAAAAAACTGTGGAAGGATGTTTTATTGTACAATTAGCGGTTTCTTAATGGAGAATCCACGGAGGTACTGAATTCAGGGGTTCACAATGTCCTGAAATGATATGCAAAATTTTTCTTGGGGGAGGGGTCATGACCCCTCAAAGTTTAAGAACCACTGCTACAGAGTATAATAAAACTGCTGAATTATCATCACGCCAGAAGGTCTGTGATTATCTGACCTACATTTAAAAAAAATTTATTTTACCCATTACTCCAGTTATCACGCTAAATTAGTTTTTTGCAATTTTATTCACCAAATTCACTTAGTGAGTTTCAAAGCTTACTGCCTCTGAAAATATGCACAGTATGTCAAAGGTAATGAAATTATACATCTGGCAGCTGTAAGTGATTTCAACTAGTCAGATGAACCCATGGAACTGCAATTCATTTGGATGACAAGTCTCACCACACATTATGAGTTTATGCATTTCAAAGGGGCTTTAGGTTCAGTGTTTCTGCAGCTGAAGTGCATTACTCATACCACCCCCATTATTACTACAAGATGCCCTCAGAACCACCAAGACAGGCAGTAACCAGAATACTAAACAATCCACTGAGGCCTGCACTATGCAAAGGGAGGCGCATGCATTAAGAGAAAGTTGGCGATGGGAGGCATATGGTACATGTGCAATTCACATAGAAGACTCCTAGGGCAAATACAAAAGAAGGGAGTTAAATTCTCTCTAGCCAAAGCCAAATAGTATCATCAAAATGCTCTTTATGTAGATATTAGACCTTAATGATGATCTGGACTAAAAAGATACAACTCGAAGTCCTCTTTCAATGGGATCTGTCAGGAGGAGGCCTTGGGGAGCATATATCTTCTCATTCTGCTCTTGGATGTATTTGGAGACTTTCTTCAGAACCTGCCAAAAGAAACACCACAGCTTCTTACACGTTTCATCAAATTTCCCTTTAGGTATCAGCTGGATCTCAAAAAATATTCAGGCAGTGGAATTAGTTTTCAAAAAAAGCAAGAAGTGGATATTTATATGGAGGGATACAACTCTGATTATTTGGCTCACACCAACTGCATACAACAAACAGCCCAGCACGATGGACTCAAGTCACAACTATCTTCGATGCAGTTTAAGTTCACATGCACACAAAAGCAGAAGAACCAATCCCCTCCTCCTCACCTCCATCTGGAGTATAAATAAACAGATGATCATATACACAGCAGTTAGCTACGCTTTTCTCTTTCCCCACTCATAAAGGGTGGTTAATGTGACATCACCTAATATCAAGGATAGTTCTGGGCCCTCCCCATTAATACTTAAAAGCTTTTCTCCTTGTATATTTCATCAGTTTTAAGTAATGATACAAAGTTGGCCTGTAATAAAAGGTAGCCCAGTTAATTTAAAACTGAGAAGTTTATTTCCTTCTTAAAGCAGTGGACATTAGCTGCCACAGAGTTTCTGATGACAAGTGTCTTTTATCATCTCCATGACCGCATGGAGAGCTGCTCTGCAGTTTGCTCCTGTGTCCCAGATGGGAACCTCGATTTATAAGTTTAGTATTAAGGTTGTAAAAGTCAAAGCAAATGTAGACAAAAACCAGACAGGATACAGAGGAACTTCTGGAAATTGCCAAATCTCCAGCTTTAATAAGGGCAATTCTGAGACAGATAAGCTAGAAGAATATAAATCTTAATAGCTATATACAAAATCAAAGAGTTATATGTTTATTTCAGATTCAAAGTCACTATAATCCTTTTCTGGCTCTCATGTCCAAAAAGGCTTTGATCAGTTCTTTAATTTCTATATATTTTCTTAAATTCATCTTACCAGCATATGCTAAGTGTCACAAATAAATGTGATTACAACATAAAGGGAAGAAATAACTGAAAATTAATTTGGAAATTAAATGATTTAAGTGTGGGTCTATAATATACCAGGCTAAACTAACAAATTAGGATGTTATAATTTTGGTGCTTTAGTATAAATCGCTTTAGAATGTAAAATAGTATGTGGTTTGTATAACAAATTTTCTTCTTGAAGGAAAATAACGTTAAATAGTTTATTCAGGTTATATATCTTTGGGAAAAATACAATCTCACGTTTTATGCTTCTTTAAAAAGAGCACGATATTATTCAAAGAGCAATCTGTGGGTTCTTTATGTCATGATTAAGAATATGACATAAAGAAAAATTCTGAAGAAAAAATTTTTTTCACCTAATTACCTAAGTAATACATATGTCATTCTCCTATTTTCAACTCTCAAAGAATCTGAGCAGGGCTTGGCTGTCACTGGCAAAAAAGACACAGGCACCATCTATCAGAGCTTGAAGATTGTGCTAAAATGACGAAGAGAAGGAAGCAGCCCAGCAAGGGCCACCTCGGCACTCCATCTGCTGGCCGCTTCCCTTCTCAGTTCACCTGCCGGACCTGGACACGGAGAGTCAGGCTCCCTTGCCCCAGCCCATCTGTGCTAGGAGGGGCACTCCGGAAAATGCCTGCATGGCTGGTTTCAAAGACAGGACTCCTTTGGAGCAGCTTTGGTCCCTTCTCCTAGGGTGCAGGTTACCAGCAAAGAAACAGCACTCCTTTATTTGATTCAAGCATAACTTTGCTGTGGAAGGTTTTTATTTAAACGTGAATAACATTCATGTGCACTTGAGTATCAGTTCAGAAAGAAAACAGTTTTCTTTTTGTATAAGCTCCAAGTCCTGAAGGCAGGACTGTCAAACAAGGTGCTTTTCAACTCTGAATCTTTTTAGCAATAGAAAAGCATTAATGTGAGTAAACTCACACTGTATGCCTGCTAGGACCATTCTCACTCCTCCCAAGAAGGTTGATATTACAGTCATACTTCATTATTAAATTATATAAATTCATTATATAAATCAATGTCAAAACAACCTGTAATACTGAACAAAATTATGTTATCCTCAAACCTTTAACAAAAGTTTCAATTTGTGTAATATTTACAAAGCTAAACACAATCAAACCTCAGGAAAGACTATGATACTCTTGTGAATATTAAACTGGAAAAGCCTACTAGACTCTCAAGGAAAAAAATATCCTAAGTGAGGCTAAGTGAGAACACCAGGATTTTAGTATTTTCATAAAAAAACCTAAGTCCTGCTAATTTGTCCCTTCTACAGATCATACCACATAGGCAGAAGGGATGGATGTTTTCTAGTTGATGAACAAGGCAGACAGTTGCAGCAGAGAAGCCCATTTGTTCCCTAATTATAAGGGGCAGCAACAATAGAGAAATAACACTGAAGTCTTTATCTTCATTTTAAATCAATAAGTAACACATCATAGGGAAAAAATGCATGATTGTTCAGAGTTTTAAAAGGCTTATTTACAATTTCAAAAAACTTAATCCCCATGGCAAAGTGTAAGCACTATTATATTTGGCTTACTCTTTGTAGACTACACATTTTAGTGTTTCAAACAATAAACACTAAATGACTCAATTCTGTCCTTTCACAAAGTAGAAATTATGGCACAGAAATTCCTAAGGGACAAACTAGAGAGAAGGAGAGAGTGGTTATCTTGTAATTTTATCAGAAATACAAATATACATTTAAAGTTTTCTTTTACAAACATAGGTACATCTTAACTTAATTGTGACCACTCCAGTTATTTGCTTTGCATGACCTAGTTGTTCTTGTCCAGTTTCTAAAATAGAATTACCTATTTAAAAACATGGCATTCCTTAAATTTTGGTTTCTTGACTAATTTTATTTGGTCTTCTCTTGCTTTGTAATATTCTATTAAAAAAGAAGACTTGAGTAGACCTATAAAGTAGTACCTTATATACTGCCTATGAAGCCAAGTTAAAATATACTGGGATCAATCAATTTCCATTATGTTTCTGATACTGAGAACTGCCTTCCAAGATTAATGAAGTAGCAGCTGCTAAAAAAGATTGCTTACACTTGAAATAAAAAATTAGTATATGTGAGTTCTAACATCTGATATATACATATACATACACACATATACATATGTATGAATTTGAGTTTTAATCTAAAGAAAACATTTTGATTAAGCAGCTCCCATATATCGGCAATTTGTTAATTTTAAGACCCATTTTATAGTTTAGAGATCTCAAGAGATATGAACTTGTCCATGATCCCATAATTAGTAATGACCTGGTTGGTACCCAATTACCAATTTCTTTTTACAACTGACATCACAAGGCATTTGTATCTATTTCAGCAAATGAACACGGATAAAGACAGGTTAATTAAAATCTTACCAAAAAAATTAAAAGCAGCGCAACACTGAAATGACCAGTCATGCATCTGATAGCCACTAAGCATGAATAAAATACTTTGGAGGACAGAGTTCCACCTTAAACTGGCATTATTACACACTTCTTGAAATGACCATCCCCGGATAAGCATATGAATTCAGCTTTGTGTCCCTCTGACATCTGGCTCTTCAGGTGCTGCTTCTACGATGAGCATGTCCCTTGAATCTGTTGCCTCCTTCCCACCTCTACTGCTCAGTTCCTCATCTAGGCTATCGTCATCTCGTGCCCGGACATCTATGGAGCATCCTAACTGGTTTCCCTACTTCCACTTCTACACCATTTTTTTTCACAGAGCAAAGAGGTCTTTTTAAAATGAAAATCTGATCATATTCTCTGGCTTAAATTAGCTTCCCCGGCACTGAAAATATAACCTAAACTTCTTTCTATGTACACGCTCCTGCACGATGCAGCTCATGCTCAGCTTTCCAGTTCACCATTCCTCTCCCTCCCCGAAGGCCTTCTTTCAGTCCCCAGCACCCATCAAGCTCTCTGGGCCTCGGCATATATTTACCTCTGCCTAAAAGGCCCCAGGCTCTCAAACTGCATGTAGCAACTTCAGTGTTATCACTTCAGATGCCTTTTTTAACCACACAATAAATTAGGTTACTTCTATTATTTTCTATCATTAGGAAAGTTTGTTTTCTTCAAGGCATTTATCACAATTTGCAATTTTGTTGTTTTTGTTCCCTTATCAGTTGTTACCACTAAATTATAAACTTCACAAGTCCAGCAACCATGTCTGCCTATTCAGTTACATCCTATGCACACTGCTTAGCACATAGTAGGCCTTCAATAAATATTAATTGAACAAATCCCTTATCCCTTCACTCACTAAATGCATTGTAAAAGAGAAGGTGCTAAGAGAAAACAGATTGAAAACTGATACTTGTCCTTTATAACTTCTGATTTTGAATGATGTGAATATGTGCCTAATTTCTTTTGGGTACCTGGACCCTATTCCAATGTGTGTGTGTGTGTGGTGGTGGTGGTGGGGGAAGGAAGGTCTTCCCACACACACAACACTGAGCAATTCTCTAAAGCCAGCAGGGTGTTGGAGAACTCAATTCTGATGTTAACTGCCCAGAGACAGTACCAGATTCCCCAGGTTAAGGGTTCTGTCCTGTAAGACTGCCCTCCACCCCCCTACTCCAGATGCCAGTCGCAAACTCCAGGCAGTTACCTGTGCTTCTGACCTACCCACTAGAGACTGGAGGTCAACAACCTCCCCCTTAGGTTCAATTATTTGCTAGAGCGGCTCATGAAACTCAGGAAAACATGGTTGTACCAGTTTAATAAAGGACACCGTAAAGGATACAGGTTAACAGCCAGATGAAGAGAGACATGGGGCAAAGTCCCAAGTAAAGGAGCTTCTGTCCTCGTGGAGGTTGGGGCCTGGCCAGTGGTGCGGGGAGGCGTCCTGGTTCCCCAAGTGCAGAAGCTCTCTCCGACCAAGAAGCAGGAGCCAAGAGAGCTGAGAGCGAAAAGCCCTTCTCAGCGGTTTTTGTGAGGGCTTCACTGCATAGCCATGATTGACTAAACCACTGGCCATTGGCTGATTTAACCTCCAGCCCTTGCCCTTGAGTGGGGGTCTAA